CTACGGCAGTGAAAATAAAACTACAAGAAAAACCTCCTCAAAGCATACCACCTCATGGAAATCTCGATAAGGAAAAACAGGCTGCTGAAAAGCAAAATGGACCTTGTTGTTACTAACATTCCAGTGATGTCCTCTCAACAAATAGGCTAATTGCATCGTGTTTAAGCCAAAATATATCTAGATAGCAATAGGATACAATAATGGAAGTGAGAAAGATGTAAGCACAGACTCAGCTATGCCAAAACACAGTGTTTGATTACAGATACTGTTACTCTAAATATGTGGAAGTAATAGAATAGGAAGTATAAATCTCATTTGTAAAAGAAAAACCATGAAGAATTAAACAAGTACAAATGAAAGAATGATTTGTAGGAAAATGTGGTAGGTTATACGCCAAAAAAAAAATGCTTCTACAAAATGAAAAAAACTATAGTGTTCTGATGAAGGGTGGAGACATGCAATTCACTGAGAATTTTACTTCACATCTTCAGATCCCTAGTGCTGCCTGAACTGAGGAATCTGGATCAATTCCCACCGCCTGCATGCTGACATGTACTCTACTGTGCGCTATCTCTTCCCCTCTCTACAGGCACATCACAACTCAGTGCTCTGATTTCTGCAGGAAGGAAGTCTTGAAGGAGATGAGGTGCTTTCTAGCCAAGTTTCCAACCTGATCTATGACGAGGAGGGAGAAGCACACCAGTCGTGCAGTCTTGATGTAACCAATGGGAGTTCCTTCACGGGCACTAACATTCCAACACAGCCTATGGCAATGGGTCATGCCTGTGTCATGAGAGCTGCAAACTGCATCGCAGTATCTACCGAATTATCAGCTACAAGTCAGTGTTGACTTTATGTCTTTAGTGATTAAAATCTCTCTTTTAGAAAACAAATTCCAGTTCCTCAAAGAAAACTATTTCTCACTGGTGATTAAAAAGTCCCTTCCTTCATGAAAGAAGAAAATACTGTAATGCATTAGTAGACACTGATCCCAAAAGCCGTACACGTGAGCAGGACATATTCCTATGAAACATAATGGGACTATTTGCAATTTTTTTTGCAGAGTCCATGACTAAATCTTTCAAGACAAGCAAAGATGCTATCAGGTGACTCAGACACAGATTATAGAGTCAATGTCTTAGCAATTAATACGAACACATTGCCTCACTAAAGGCCATTAGGAGCTTTGAATATTA